AAAAAAAAAAAAAAAAAGAAATCGGCTAGTGTAGTCCAGGTGCAGTGGCACATGCCTGTAATCCCAGCAATTTGGGAGGCCAAGGGGAGAGGATTACCCAAGCTCACAGGTTTAAGACCAGCCTGGGCAAATTGGCGAGACCTCATTGCTACAATAAATCAAAATATCAACCTAGCGTGGTGGTGCGTACCTGGAGTTCCAGCTATTTGGAAGACAGAGGCAGAAGGATTGCCAAGCCCAGCAGGTCAAGGCTGCAGAGGCCGGGACAGTGCCACTGTACTCCAGCCTGGGCAACAGAGTGAGACTCCGAGTCAAAAAAAAAAAAAAATCAGCTGTTATGTGGGTGGGGGAAGGAGGGATGTACATCAATAATTGTGCCTGATCCCAAACCAACTAAAGTAAGGACCTATGGGAAACCCAAACTTCACCTGCATGATTACCTCTTATGTACCTAATCCTGAATTGAACTCCAAATCTTTTTTTTTTTTTTTTTTTAGTCTGAGTCTCACTCTGTTGCCAGGCTGAGTGTAGTGGCACGCTCATGGCCACCACAGCCTCAACCTACTGGGCTCAGGCGATCCTTCCAGCTCAGCCTTCCAAGTAGCGGAACTACAGGCACACGCCACCATGCCCTCTAATTTTTTGATTTATTGTAGAGATGAGTTCTCACCAAATTGCCCAGGCTGGTCTCAAACCCGCAGGTTCAGGCAATCCTCTCACCTCAGCCTCTCAAAGGAATTATAAGTTTGAGCCACTATGCCTGGCCGCTTATTTTATTTATTATTATTAGGTCAGAGTCTCACTCTGTCACCCAGGCTGGAGTGCAGTGGCATGCTATGGCCACTGCCTCGACCTACTGGGCTCAGGCGATCCTTCCGCCTCAGCCTTCCAAGTAGCTGGAACCACAGGTATGTGCTACCATGCCAGGCTTATTTTTTGATTTCTTATAGAGACGAGGTCTCACCAAGTTGCCCAGGGTGATCTCGAACCCCTGAGCACAGGCAGTCCTCTCACCTCTGCCTCCCAAAGTGCTGGGATTACAGACTTGAGCCACTGCATGCAGACCCAGCTAAATTTTTGATTTATTATAGAGATGAGGTCTTGCCAAGTTGTCTGGGCTGGTCTCGAGCCCAGGGGCTCAGGCAATCCTCTCACCTCCGCCTCTCAAAATGCTGGGATTATGGCCGTGAGACACCGCTCCTGGCCACTCCAATCTTTATTTTTTTATTTTTTTATTTTTTTGAGTTGGAGTCTCACTCTGTCACCCAGACTGGAGTGTGGTGGCCGCTCCCGGCCACAACAGCCTCAACCTGCTGGGCTCCGGCGATCTTTCCGCCTCAGCC